AAATGATAGACGGTGAAGCGTTTTTGCTCAGCCAATTCAGGAAGATGATCCATTTCTAAACATGATCGATGAAAACACAGTTATGCAAGTGTCTTTCGTTAAACCTTTTATCGGGACAACAGGGATCCCCCGAGCATGCTCCCCCAAGGACGTAAACGCGGTTGCGACAGGCAACGGCAGTTCCAGAGAGACGAGCCTCGGGTGGCATCGTACTCAGAGTCTTATTGATTTCTTGAGTTTGCAGATTCAAAGTGTGCCACTCAACTCTGAATAATGGTTCCCTGTCCGTCGGATCTAGTGCAATTTTCATACCATTTTCAGCAAAATACGGCCGATATATCCAACCGCGGAAAGGCAACGCCTCCAGCACTCCATCTCGCCCTCGAACGCAAAGCCGATTCCAGGAATCACTAGTGTAAAGGCTCATAATTCACCTCCTTTCTGTTGAACAACTATGGTGGCAGGAGATATGAGAGAAAAAAGGGGAAATGAAGTTTACGGCGGTTACAAATGAAATAAACAAAAGTAGATGAAACGAGTACTGAGCTTTATTTGTCTGGTTGTTAGCCCATCAGATCGTTTCGGTATATAGCCCAAATAACCAAAACCCAACTTAATAACAACCTTTTAAGCAAAATTCGCCCAGGTGTATTTAATTGGCTCATTAGATCATCCAGAATTTTATTTAGGGCTCATTAGATCACCCAAAATTTTATTTAGGATCTACTGTAAATGTTATAATATAGGAAAAATTCGTCCCGTCAACGTAATGAGTTTATCCAAAAAATACTTTTAAATAGTCCCAAATAAGTGAGGTCCAATATTATTATATAATTCTCGAACTCGTCACGTCAACGTGACGAGTCTAGTATTTTTTTAAAAAAAAATTAGTAATTAATTTTTAAATTATAATAAATTAAAAAACATATTTGGAAAAACTGTCATATTAAAACTCGTTACGTTGAGGTGATGAGTTCCATGAGATTTTTTAAAATTATAGTCATTTAGAGAAGTTAGATTTGGGGTTATAAATAGGTTTTTTGCGGTTTAGAATTTTTATTGTGTATTGTTAAGAAGAAAAAAATTACTCTTGAGAAAAAAAATATTTTTTTAAGAATTCCTTAAAATGTCTACCCGAAATAAAATGTTACATCTTGATGTTATCTATATTTATAAGTATCTCTCTACTTCTGAAATTATGAAGCAAATGAGAAACCATATTTAACAACACCAGGGTAAAAGGATTGAATGGAAGGAATGAAGGTCAAATATGCAAAAGGTAAGAAATCATCATTATCAACATCTTCGACTTCTGATTATGATTCTGCAAAATATTTTGCATCTCAAATCAGTTATGGTTTTTATCCTCCATATCATGCTTTAGTGGAGAGTCGACCGAATTGAGTTGGAGATTCATGGATGCAATGCAATATGTTCAACCATCTTCGACAAAACCTGTGGGTGAATAAGATCATCTTTTATATGGTCAACAAGAAACCGACTTCAGTTAACAATTCGAGTCAATGACGTCAATGATGGCGTCAAATACTTTAAATACTCAATCACCATATTTTGAAGGTAGAACTCAAAGTGGAATGATGTTCAATACACCTCATGTTGAAGAAGCAAACGAAGATGAAGACAATTAAGGCAAACAATCACAATGAAATCGACAAGCTTCACGTCATTATTATTCGACTACTCCTCGGCATCGTCAATAATTACGAAAATATAAGTAAATTTTTTAGTAATTATATTAGTTTAAAAAAACTTTTATTATTGTAATAAATTAGTTTGTAATAAATTATTTAAAAGTTTTATTTTTAAATAAATTGGACCGAACACATCACATCGATGTGACGAGTTTCAACGTCTATATTTTTTGAAATTTCAAAAGTTGCTAATTGACCAATTGTTAGTTGATTTTAAATTCCAAACGAACTCGTTATCTCAATGTGACAAGTTCAACGATTTTTTTTTAATTTATTATGATTTTACAATTAGTTACTGAAATTAATCACTAACCTAACGAGCCAATTAAATATATTGCATGGCCTAATGGGTCAATTTTGCCCAACCTTTAAAACCTTAAATCACTCACATAATTTTTTTGAATTAATCACTGGTATCTAATCTATTGATCGATTAATACAGTTTGAGTACTGCAGAGGTGAATGTGACTCTCCCAATCCAGTTTGCTTCATTCGAAAACACCAGAATTTGAATCTTTGACCTAATTTAAAGAATCTAATATCTTATCTTATTAAATCAACTAGTCATTAGTAACCTCCATTTTATATAAGAGTTGATATATTTGATCTAAATGCGCTTCATGCAGAACGTGCTTTTCACGCGTATTACCAAATTAGAAATAGTCTTTATTACTATGCTTAAAATATTTTTTTTTGTAAAACGTGTTTTTATCCAAATGGATGACATTTTGATAAATAATGATCATTGAGTGTTATATTAATAAATAATTATTTTATATTGATTTTTTAGTAAAATTACTGTTTTATCATTTTATGAGAATAATTTTTATTTAAATGATATTTTTAACTAAGATGGTGTCCTTTTAATGAAGGTATGTTCACGTGAAAATGTTTTTTGAAAGACTTATTTTGAAGAGAATGTCTTTGTTCATGTGACAATCATTCGAATGATTTCTTTTACACTAATGTTGCTTATGATAAAAATGAAAGAAATAAATAACAATGAATCGAAAAATATAAAAAAATTTATTTAAAAATAAACAGCACGCATAATATGTGTCTTGATTAGATTTTTTGTGCCCTTATTTTAAGAAAAATATTAATGATAAATTCATTATTATGGTTTAATGTTAAAGGAAGCTGATGCGTTTTTTTGTTAGAATTGTTAGGTTCAAAATATTTTTTTGATGAAACAGACATGTGATTTCTGTTTAGGTCTAAAAAAGAATTGTTAAGTTTAAAATAGTTTTTGATGAAACAGACATCTGATTTGTGTTTAGGTCTAAAAAAGAGTGAACTATATAAATTTTGAGGATCAACGGTGAATAGCGTCAATGAGGGTGGTGAATGGTGGTGGGAGATAGAAAACTACGATTGAATTTAATTATCAAGTTAATGTTTTATTTAAAATTTAATATCAAATTAATGTTTTATCTAAATTTTAGGTCATATTAAAAATATACCTAAAATTGAAAGTTAAATTAAAAATTAATTCTTTTGTATTAATGTGTCATATTATCAAATTAACAAGAATTAAAGACTTAATAACTAAAGGTTTAAGGGTCACTTTTGTCGTTGTAGTAGATTAAATTTATCATATTCGCTTTCTCCATTTTTGATAAGTAAAATAGGGTAAGTCCCTTGAGACAAACATACGATTTTATAAGTAAATAATAATGTAACAAATAGAGAAAACAAATAGGAAGAATGTCAATTCCTTGAAATCCACCTCAACAAAGCTTTCTAATTTGGTCTTCCCAATCTTTTTTTTCCAAATTCCAAATTGATAAATAGTGCTAAATGTTGGAGAAAGTTTAAGAAAACTGAAAAACTGTGGTCATTTTTCTCGACCAGAAAAGAGAAAACAAAAGAGAAGCAAAAAAAAAAACTAAAAATTCAAAGAAAGAAATTAGTTATATAGAAAAAAATGAAAATAGAATAGGTTCAATCAATAGCCAAAAAGCAAAGAATCGTTACTTACACACATCAAAGGACTTGGTCTCGATGTAATCACACCCTCTCTCTTTCTGCCTCTATTTTTCCAGCTTCAATACTCTGTATTTTTATTTATTTTTGCATTTTCGTTTGTCAAAACTGCACATTTGTTACAGGGTAGGATGTTGAAACATGGCTTATAGATCGGCTCAAAGTTTTCCTCTCTGTTTTTTTGCTAAAGGAACAGAATTCATTAAGGTTTTGTTTCCAATCTGGGTTTTGGTAATTCAAAGCAAAAGAATTCTGGATGTTAGCTTTGGAATAATATTTAGGGTGGAGACAGATGAAGAAAAATGGAGGTGGGTTGAGGGGGGTTGGTTTATGGTGGAGGTGCGGAGAAGGGATGGAGAAAGGACATTTTTGGTATACTATAAGTTTTATTTTATTTAATGGATTTTTATTTATTCAGATAAAAATAAATAAATATTAAGAGGTGACATGGTGTGTTCTAATCGGTCAGTGAGATTTTTTAACGGTGTTAATGATATAGGGCAAACGGAGTAAAGCTTTAAAGTTGAGGGGACAAAACGTCTCGAAAAATATTTTAAGGAACAACTCATTAAAAAAATGTATAGCTAAGGGGACAAGGTGTATTTAAGCTAAAATATAATAACTAAGAGTACAAATAATCGAAATTTAATAAATCAATAATGTTACCAAGTACCAACCAACCTGATATGCTTATTTAGAAGGGAGACCGCACCCGAGAAAAATTCTGTGATGTCTGGCTATCGCTTACTACTACATAATTCAGAGACAGGTACACAGAATAATATCCAAATTATTCCTCAGCTTTGCAAGCGTTTTATGATAGACTCTGGAAATCCCCTATCCCTACTAAAATTAAAATACTAGTACGGCGTTCGGCTAAGAATTACCTGCCAACTTTCAGCAACCTTTCTGCCAGGCATCTCACCACTCACACCACCTGTTCGCTTTGTGGTGAAGGCCCTGAATCAATTGTTCATTTGATCCAACAATGTACCTTTTCAACTCAAGTATTTGCAACTCTGTAAATTGATATTCTCAGCATGTACCTTTTCAAGATTGGACTCTCTGGTTGGCACACTTCGCCCTCAGCCTATCAATTCCAGATTGTAATTCTCTTTTCGTTGCTATATGGGCCATTTGGAGTCATAGAAACAATGTAATTGACGACAATGCGCAGAATAACCTTTTTGCTATTACTACATTTATCAAAGCCTATTTAAGAGAGCAAGATCCCTGCACACCGCAAAGATTAATCCTAATGTTTCATCTGTTGCGGGTTGGCTCCCACCCCCTATGCATGTCATGAAAGTCAATTTCGATGCTGCATTTGACAAGAATAATCTTATGTCAGCAACTGAAATTGTTATAAGGAATCACAATGGATTATTAGTGGCTGCTGGATCTTACCTGGACTTAAACATTTTCGATCCTTGTGTAGCAGAGGCAACAACATGTGAACAGGCCATCAGGCTAGCACAGGAGTTGAACTTCAGGAAGGTGATTATTGAAGGGGATTCCTAACTGTGATACAGAAGCTCCAAACCCCTATACAGGATGATTATTAAGATTTCGATGTTAGAAAAAGAGTGAATTTAATTGATAGATTTAATATTTATATTAAATTTATATTTTTTTTATTATTGTAAATTAAATATATTATTTGATTTAAATATAATTACTCTTTGAATATGTTAATTTAAAAATGTATTTGTTATCTTTTTAACTTTGAATATTAAAGATAATTATATACTTTTGTATGTTTTAAATTAAAATAATATCTATTTAAGTTTGAATGACAAAAATAGTTTGAATATTTCAAATTAAAAGATATTATTATCTGTTTAAAGTTGAATATTAGAAGATATTTGGTTGAATTAAATATCTCTTGAAAATCCCCTATAAATAGTGAGCAAATCTGTTAGGTTTTTTACAACTCAGAATTCAAGAATTTTTCTTCTCTTGAAAATTATTTTCTCTCATTAGAAAATATTCTTTTCTTCCACTAGTTTTTCGGTGATAGTCTAAAGCAATGATCGTTCGTGATCTCTACAGATGTGCTACTGTAGCTGATAATAACTTGTTGTATCCTGGGAGACAGACGATCAATGAACTCGAGCACCAAAAGAGTGGTCGAAAATATGTCTTAAGGAAATTGTGTAGCGGCAGAGCTAAATTGATTCTGATCTCAATTGATCAAAATAAAAGGAGCATTTTTCTTTCTATTTAACTTTGATTTACTTTATGAAGTTTAACTTCTTTGTTTGATTTTCTCTGGATTGATTTCGTCTCAGATTGTTTTTCGGTCAACAATCTTAAGACAATAAACTCGTTCTATCCCTTTAATTTATAATGATATTTATTCATTATTTTTTTTATATCATTCTCGGATTATCAATGCATAATTTTTATAACAATCTTAAGACGAATTTTATTTTCTTATTGCTTTCGAGATGATATAGAATTCGCGTGTTTAATCCCTATTGTGTACATAGGAAGTGTCAAAAATTCAACAAAACAAATATTGGGCGAAAATCAAGAGGAATTTATGCTAAAGATAAGTTTCCTTTAATTTTGAATTTATGAATTTCAAATTCTTTGAGGAATACTTTTTGAATTCAATTTCTAATGTGAGACATGGTTCCACTGACTTATGTGTAAGGATTTAAATAATTGGATTTCAAAATCTTTGCAAGATCTTTGTGGTTGCACATTTTGTGGGGCACACCTTTAATCTTGAAGGTTTAAGTTTCGATTAACAATGGTTAAGTTAATGATTAAGAATTCAGGTTTTGGTTGACAACGATGAAGTCAATCAAGTAAGTAAAATTTGAATATTTCCCTTTAGTCTGAAATGATTCAGAACTCTCTCTTCTACCTTTCTTAATATGAAATGGCTCAGATATCGTGGGAAAACGAGATATCAAATAAATTTGTTTCAGGATTTATCCTACCGTCTTAACATGTTTGCTAAAATTTCAAAGTGTACAAATTTGTATAACAGAAATTGTCGTTAAAGTAATTTGGTTACTGATTTTGTTTCAGAATTTTAATTTTGTTTGATAACAAAATCAAAAATAAACAAGAATTAATTTTCTGTTTATTGGAATCTTTGATTTCATATTTGAAATCAATTGAGATTTTAATTTTTTTCAGTAACAAAATTATTTGATTTCTATAAAAAAATTGTTGGAAAATAACAATAGTGTTGCTTATTTGTTTTAGAATTTTAGTTCATGACTAAATTATGTTGATAGAATAAATAAAAATTTAGTTTTGGTTTATTGTTGGAATTATTATTAATTATAGTTTCATGTGTTAAACAAAACCGTGATTATCGGTGGTCGTGAGCCATGATGAGAAACTTGTAAAATACTATGAATAGAATTTCAAGATGTGATAACATAAGATGTTATTTTATTTGGTCACGGTGAATTTGACCAAATGTGAGATGATCATTCTATTATTAGAGAGGATGAGGTAAACGTTATTACCGGATCTTGAAAGTATTATGATTTCCTGTGTTGGAAATACATATTGAATGTATTATCGGATACACAATATAATGTGTACAATTGAACCATAGATACGAAATAGAAGATGTTGGTACTAATGAATTATTAGTGACCAAGTTCTTAAACTTCGTAATAATGGAAAAAAACGAGGGAGAATAAATGTTTTATTATCTCCATTAATGATAGCAAAGTATTGCTATGTGTATTTGCTAAAAGAGCAAAACGAAGTTATAATTTTTTTTTTCTATAAACATGAAGTTGAAAACCAACTTAATAAATAAATTAAGATGGTAAGAAGTGATTATGTAGAACATGATATTATTCATGAAGTGACATCACTATATTCTCCTAAAATAAATGGAGTAGCAAAGCGGAAGAATTGGACAATAAACTCAATGCTAAGAAGTTCTGAATTGTCACATAACATGTGGGGGGAGAGAAGTTGTTCTGTCAACTAATTACTTTTTAATTGAGGTCCCTAAACAAAGAAAAAAGACAAGACACCACATGAGTTATGAAAAGGTTGAAAACCTATGTCATACAAACACTTGAAAATGTGGGGGTTGTCTTGAGAATGTAATGGTCATATTACCAAAATAAATGAAAATAAATCCTAAATGATGGATTGTATTTTCTTTGACTATTCTACTATCTTAGATGGATAGATCGATGCTAGTTAGAATTTGATATTTAAGATATCAACGACACAAGTGAATATGTTTCACATTGGAAGGAAAAAATGTTATGAAAATCCTTAAGAAAACGGTTATATCCAGATTCATAATGGAATTTGAGTTTGAAGCTCTAGATAAGTCCAGAGAGTAAGCTGAATTGCTTTGGAATTTCTTGGAGGATATTCCTAAATGGCTTAAACATGTGCCCACAGTATGCTTATACTGTGGCTAGCAAGTATAATGGTAAGTCGAGACATATGCATCGTCGACATAATACCATAGACAACATATCTCAAATTGAGTTATCATTGTTGATTTTGTAAGATTAAAGGATAACATTGTGGATCCGCTAACCAAAGTGTTAAATTGAGATCAAGTTGAGAAAACATCTAAAGGAATGTGACTAAAGCCTTAGAAATTTAAAAGCGTTATGTGAAGGAAAAACCTACATTGTTGACTGGAGATCCCAAGATTTAGGTTCAAATAGACAACCTAATTACATAACCGTGTATGGTCACTATAGGGGTTTATTATCCCAAGTTCGTTCCTAAGATGTAAACAGTGATCTAAGTGGTACATGCTAAGCAAAGCTTTTAATGACCATTGTGTGATGTGGTGAGCTGAACAACATAAGTTACCCATGTTTAAGTGAAGTGGGGGCCTCTTTAAGGAGATTATTAGGTCATATTTCTCTCAAACTCTTGCAGAACCAGGCGATGTCTATGGCTTTAAGGACATACACATGAGAACTAAATTCTTATCAGAGGGGTAGTTGTGTGAAGTATGTTATCGTTTACACAAACGAAAGAACAATTCAAGGACATCACACCTATTGTTTATTCTGTAAAGTAAATATACTGTCACAAGGGAATGTTCAAAGGAGGACACTTACCTATCCTATGCAACTATCAATCGTAGAGGCTATCACCACATCGTGCCAAAATATTTTTGATTAAATCATCAATTTCATTCATGTGAGGATTGTTGTAATAAGAGTGAATTTAATTGATGAATTTAATATTTATATTAAATTCATATTCTTTTTTACCATTGTAAATTAAATATATTATTTAATTTGAATATTAATATGATAATTACTCTTTGAATATGTCAATTTAAAAAGATATTCGTCATCTTTTTAACTTTGAATATTAAAGATAATTATATACTTTTGTATATTTCAAATTAAAATAATATATATTTAAGAATTCAAGAATTTTTATTCTCTTGAAAAATTATTCTCTCCTTAGAAATATTCTTTTGTTCCACTAGTTTTTTAGTGATAGTCGAAGACAATGAACGTTCGTGATCTCTACAGATGTGCTACTGTAACTTATCATAAGTTGTTGTATCCTAGGAGATAGACGACAAACGAACTCGAGCACTAAAGGAGTGACAAAAAATTTGTCTTAAAGAAATTGTGTAGCGACATACTTCAATTGATTTCGATCTCAACTGATCAAAATAAAAGGAATATTTTTATTTTTATTTAATTTTGATTTACTTTATGAAGTTTAACTTCTTTGTTTGATTTTCTTAGGATTGATTTCATCTCAGATTGTTATCTCAGTTAACAATCTTAAGACAGTAAACTCGTTTTATCCCTTTAATATATATTAATTTATAATGATATTTATTCATTATTTTTTTTAATATCATTATCGGATTATTAATTCGTGTTTTTTTCTAAATGTGAAAATGAAGTGTAAGGACTTTACTGATTATTCATTTAGACATGCAGCAAGAGCTTGTAACACAGTGGCGCACCACCTTTCCCAATTAAGTTGGTCTGTCTCTACTGCAACAATTTGGTTTGAGGAAGCTCACCCGCTGATCGAAGCAGCTATTGCGAAAGACAGATGATGGGTTGATACACCAGATTGATTCGAAAGCTCCGAGACATTTTAAACACTTGTAGGCTTTTGAGACCTCAAAAGAGACATGCAGAAGAACTTTCTTTGATTTTGCTGGCATTGCTGATTTTCTTCTTCATCGGGATCAAGCGAAGTAGATGAGAACCCTCTTTTTATTTTATCAGTACATTTGTTGGTTTTTCTTTCTTTGTTTCTGTAAAACATTCCCCTTTGTTGTTTTTACGTTCTTTTTTTTATCTTGTATGTTGTCGCAGGACACGTGTTTATCTAGGGTGATTTTACTGTGCGGCGCCTAAAAGATGACGTGACCGGTTAAAATTTAGACCGGTTATGTTATATCATTTAACCGGAAATATTATCAAGTACAATAATATATTAGGTAGCGCTTATATAATGTAATAGATAGCGCTTATATTGACCTATTTTCTAACTAAACAGGTATATTTAAACCGGTAACATTACAAATTTACCTATTACATTATAATTATCGGTTTTGATGTTTTTGGGATTGATACAATTTTAAATGTATCGACACTTTATGTGTGCACCTCGTTGTGCTTTCATTTTGGAAAAAAAGTATCGACACATATTTAAAGAGTGTCGATACATAATGTAAACCTATTTGCTAATTAACCAGTATATTTTTACCGGTTACATTGTAAATTTACCTGTTATATAATAATTATCGATTTCGATGTTTTTTGAATCGATACTTTTCATAAATGCATCGACACTTATGCGTGCACCAGTTTGAGTTCTTCAATCATAAGTTTATTCTTTAAGAAACTAAAACTGGCATAACTTTATCTTATGGAGATAATAAGAGTATATCATAAGTTTGTGTTGAGAGATGTTTGTTTTTGGGTTTTTGTTCTTTGAGAAACTGATAACATGGTGGGTTTCCCAATGTTATTCTTTTGTTACTGCAAAGTTTTTGTTATTTTCTTACTGGGTTTTATTTAAAATATCCAACTTTTTGTATTAAAAAATAAAAATTCTGAAATAAAAATGATCACACAAGCACATTTTTTTACTACCGGTTTTGTCATTTCGAGATCGATTTTGTCATATTTTTACCTGTTATATTGTTATGGATCAATACATTTTTATAAAGTATCGACACTTTATTGACGCTAAAACTTATTTTCTTTTAAATTCCAAAAGTGTCGATTCTTATAATAAAGTATCGACACTATCAACATATCTGGTATCTCTTTACCGGTTTTGTCATTTCGAAATCGGTTTTGTCATATTTTTACATGTTATATTGTTATGGATCGATACATTTTTATAAAGTATCGACACTTTATTAGCGCTATAATTTCTTCTCTTTTAAATTCCAAAAGTATCGATACTTATAATAAAGTATCGACACTATCAACATATCCAGTAGTGTTTTACCTGTTTTGCCATTTCTAGATCGGTTTTGTCATTTTTTTACCTATTTTATTGTTATGGATCGATATATTTTTATAAAGTATCGACACTATCAACATATCCGGTAGCGCTTTACCTGTTTTGTCATTTATAGACCGGTTTTGTCATTTTTTACCTGTTATATTGTTATGGATCAATACATTTTTATAAAATATCGACACTTTCAATATATCTGGTAGCGCTTTACCTGTTTTGTCATTTATAACCCGATTTTATCATTTTTTTACCTGTTATATTGTTATTGATCGATACATTTTTATAAAGTATCGACACTTTCAATATATCCGATAGCGCTTTACCTGTTTTGTCATTTATAGACCGGTTTTGTCATTTTTTTACCTGTTATATTGTTATGGATAGATACATTTTTATAACGACACTTTCAATATACCCGGTAGCGCTTTACCTGTTTTGTCATTTATAGACAGATTTTGTCATTTTTTTACTTGTTATATTGTTATGGATTAATATATTTTTATAAAGTATCGACACAAACCGACAAGTTAAGTTTGCCGATTGCCAAATTTTTTAATATTTCTTCATGATTTCCACCTATTACATTATTATTACTCGATATTTCCGGTAATGCTAAACCGAATTTGTTAAATATCTTTTAATGTATCCAGTAACATCGTATATTAACTATATATTAATCCGTCTTTCCGGAGACAGTCTCGTTTGTCTCGGGTCTTTTCAATTTTATTATAATAAAAGACAGTACTATCTTATTTAAAAAAAGAATCAATAACGTTAAGATAGTATAATTGTTTTTTTTTTAATTTAATGAATAAAAGTACATAAATATGAAAGAAAATGATTCATCTCATAGTGCTCCCTAAAGTTAGACCCAGTGTCTCAGCCCATGTTATTTGGACCTGATACTTTGCGTAAGGGTCCGGGTTCCGCCCGTTTCCGCAGCCTCGAATTCGTCGAACGAAATATCTACCTCAAATCCTTCAAAAAATAAAGAAAGAAAGAAAGAAATGGCTACCTCAAAGGTGTCGTCACCGAAGTCATCCACGACCCAGGGCGGGGCGCCCCGTTAGCCCGAGTCGTCTTCCGCCACCCGTTCCGTTACAAGAAGCAAAAGGAATTCTTCGTTGCCGCCGAGGGCATGTACACCGGACAGTTCGTGTGTTGTGGTAAGAAGGCTACCCTCGTGGTCGGAAATGTTTTGCCTCTTAGATCTATCCATGAAGGAGCCGTCGTTTGTAAAGTTGAACACCATGTCGGTGACCGCGGTGTTTTCGCTAGGGCTTCTGGTGATTACGCCATTGTTATTAGTCACAATCCTGATAACGATACCACCAGGCGTTTTTTTTAATTATTACTATGTTTTAATTTTAATTATGATTTGGATCCGTTCTATCTATATTTTTTTGATGAAATAAAGATGTAAGCTAACACTTAATGTTCTACTGCCAAATTACAAGCAAGTGAATCTTGTTGTAGCAAATTAACCACTTCCAGCGGTGGAGTGTAGGAAACGTATGATCATCGCCTCTTGCTGTAGCTAATCTTGTTAATTTATCGGTCACCTTATTCACATCTTGGTTTATATGCCTCAAAATAACCGTCTATTCTTGCTTTAATAATTCACTAACCCGGTCTAGCAGCGTAAATACCGATCCTCTATTAGCGTTTTCCTTAAGCATCCGAATGACCTCCAAACTATGTGTTTCAACTATGATTTGTCTTTCGCCAAGATTCAACGCATGCGAGAGACCTTCATGTATTCCCCATAACTCCACTTCAACAATAGAGCATATTCCTAGTACTTTAGAGAATCCATCCATTGTTCGAAGATCGAATAACGCCCCCACTGTTCCATCTATATTGATTTATGATTGCTTACCTCTATTTATATATAGGGTAAACTATTCCAATGGTCATTAATGTTTAGGTAAGTTTTCATTTTCACCTCTGATGTTTCAAAAGTTACAAATCAATCACTAATATTATCGTTTGTTACAAATTGGTCACTCGCCGTTAACAGGCTTGACGGAAAACACACGTGGCCTGTTAACAGCAGTTAACAGACTTACTTGGATGGTATAATTACATAAATAGTCCATGTTATTTATATATTCTTTCGATTTGATTATTGTTTTAATAAATTAAAATATATTTATTTTTAATTCTTATAAATAATGATATATTTTAAAAAAAAGAAAATCAAAAATTTAAAATTAGTTATAAAAACAAAAAAATTAACGTTTTTTAAATGTTAGGGTAAACTAATAAAAAAATTAACATTTTTTTAATAAAAATTAACATTTTTTTAATAAAAATTAACATTTTTTAATAAAAATTAACATTTTTTCTTCCCCACGCTTTTTTTTTATTTTTTTAAATTAATTCTAATATTAAAATCTTGTTTGTGAAGAAATTTTTTCACTCTGTGCATAAAATTTTTTAAAATTAATTTTATTAAGTTTTTCATTTTCTGAACAATATTATAATTTAATTTGTAATTAAATAAATTAAATTTTATCACAACAAAAATTGTAAATTTAATTATTATTATTGATATGATGAAAAATTAAATGAAAGATTAATAAGCACATAGGTAGTGAAATTGTTTAGGGAATGGACCGAACTACATCTGAAGTGACTCGTGATGATATCATCGGTGAATATTCCGAGAGCTTTGTAGATTGGGTAACTAATGGATATTTTCTTCTTTTAATTATCGTCAAGTCGAAGTAGTTCGTTATAGATTCGTGATAGAATTTATTTCAACCACAAGAAGAAACAAATTGAATCCACCCGAAGGATATATTCGAGATAATAAAAATAAATCGGCCGAAGGTCTGGCTTGTGTCCAAGGAAAAGCAAATTTTCAGCTCGTGTTATATCCGATGATACGACCACATTTGCTTTAATCACGATGAATTCATTAGGTGGTGTAAATTGGTGTCTATAACTAATTTATTTTGGAGCTCCGATTGCCTTTATCTGCAAAAAAGCTATTGGGATTTCAATTTCTAAACCTGGTAAATATTTCATAAATAGATTTATACGTCTTATTGATAGCCCCATAACATTATTGGTATTCATGTATTTCCTCGTGCTTCGGTATAACATCTTTTTGGGAAATACATAAATGTGCATTCACAAATTTATCATTTCAAGTTATGGAACTTTTGTCTGGTATATTATTACTAGCTTGAATATTGGAATTTTATATTTTCAGATCACTTCAAGTAATATTAAATTAAAATTTTGGACAAAATTTTACTTAGAAATTAAGTTTTTTTTTCTTGAATCATGGAGGTGGGAGGGGCTTCAAAAATTTACTTGGTGCCGATGATATCATCACGAGTCACTTCGGATGTAGTTCGGTCTATTCCCTAAACAATATCACGACCTATGTGCTTATTATTTTTTTCATCATATCAATAATCATTATATCATCATATTAATTTTTTTTTTTTGTTTTTATAACTAAAAAACATTATTTTGTATAAAAATATATCATTATTTATAAGAATGTTAACTGATGTTAACATGCCACGGGTGTTTTCCGTCACGTTTGTTAACGACGAATGACCAATTTGTAACAAATGATAATGTTAATGACCGATTTGTAAATTTTAAAACATTAATGGTAAAAACGAAAACTTACCCAAACATTACTCATATAAATTTTGCGACAGTCTAAGGTTAACTATCAATATTGTGCTTGAATATGAGAAAAGAACATATATTGTTAGATGTGAAAAACTGGGATTGGCCCAACGTGAATTATGAATTGATGGAATATAAAATGAAATAACATATTGATGCACAAGGATGAGTGGTTCTGTTCGTTTTTAGTTTGATTCTTGGAAGTGAGTGGATGGTGATTATTTATAGTTTAACTTGGTAGTGAGATTATTGGATTGTAACTTTACAGGATCAAGCTTCCATCGGGTGCAAAGAAGATTGTCCCAAGTGGTTGCCGATCTATGATTGGCCAAGTCGCCGGAGGTGGTAGGACTGAGAAACCTCTGCTTAAGGCTGGTAATGCTTTCCACAAGTATAGAGTGAAGAGGAACTGCTGGCCTAAGTAGGGGTGTAAACGAGTCGAGTCGAGCTCGAGTATTGCTGAGTTCGACTCGACTCGAAAACTCTGAAATAGAGCTCGACTCGATTAGAAAACTCGTGAGCTTAAAAATTTTAAGCACGACTTGAACTCGAAATCTTGAACTGAAACTCGTGAGTAGCTCGAAAAAGCTCGAAATGAAAAAAAAAATCTTAAACTTAACAAGATTGAATCCTCAAACTCGAACATGAACCTTAAATACATGAAAGTCTTATTGTATTTTTTAAAAAAAATCAACACATAAAAGTTAATATTATTAATAATTTGTTTTTTTAAAAATAAAATCTTAATATATTATATTTTCGAGCTGCTCACGAGCTTTTCGAGTCAAGTATCAAATAGCTCGTTTTGGCTCGTTAAGAATTCGAGTCGAGCTCGAGTTCATTCGATCTGAGTATTTATTGAGCCTTGACCGAGTCGATCTCGAGTAGCTCACGATCTGTCTCGTCTCATTTACCGCCTTAGGCAGGTTCGTGGTGTGGCTATGAACCCAGATGAGCATCCTCACGGTGGTGGTAACCATCAACACATCGGTCATGCTAGTACTGTTAGACGCGATGCCCCACCTGGTCAAAAGGTTGGTCTTATTGCTGCAAGGAGTACTGGTAGGCTCAGAGGGCAAGCTGCTGCCAAGGCCGATAAAGCATAGGCCAAGTAGGTTACTAGTTACTACAACTTGATGGTTTAGTTCTTTTGGCTTTTATAATTATTTTATGTTCCAAGACTATTAAAGCACATTTATGCCAGAAATTTTGTCTGAATTTTCGGATAATGCTACTGCCTGGAGTTTTTTTTGGTACAAAAAAAAAAATTAGGTCATGGGTGGCTCCTCAGTCCAGCGCCAGTACATACCTAATATTCAATTGGGATTTACATAAGAATTTATAAATTGTCCACTAAAAGTGATTAGGATTCGAACTTGACCTTACAAGTTAAAATTTTTGATTCTCAACCACTTGTGCCAATACTTGTTGGACTACTGCTTAGAGTTTATACGATAGACGTTTGTGTTTTGAATTTGAAGTTTTACCTGAAATTATTTTATGCCATCCTTCTATATGCATCTTTCACAATTATATAGTTTACTAAGTTGCAATGTCTTCCTACATCACACCTCGAGAAACTCATTGTTTATCTCCGGCAAATCAAGTTAACCTGAAAGGTTTATTCTCGTTTTCCTTCATCGTAACCGGAAACAGGTTACTTCACCAGCTTCCCTCGTCACATCAACATTTTGTACTTGCAAGGAACGCATTGTTTTTTATCTTTTGCCAACCGCTACCGTCTTTGCGACTTTGGTCATGAATAGTACAGTCATTGAACTTCTAATTTACTAATATTATGGTTATTGGCATCAATTGCTGTTAAAAAAATTGACACGGCATGTTAGAGTCTTTTGAAAAGTTTTAATCTTCCAAATTGATAATTGATGTTGGATCACTTGTGTCGTCATTGTTTGATATTCTTTCTATCTTTATTGTCACTAAATGCAACACTCACCATATTTTATAATTTTTATCATTTTCTCATGGTTGTTGAATTATTTATCACCATTACTTCATCCAGTTCCAAACACAGCCCACACTCCCTCACCATCCATGATCAAGCCAACCAAAACTTTAGCCACTATCACCAATTCCATTTGATCATTGTCTACAGCACAACCATTAATAACATTAAACAATTAAAATTAACAAATAAGTAAAGGGAAAAAAGTGAAAAGAAAAATTATTAATTTCGATTTTGACAAATCTTTATTGAATGGAATGTTTGTAAGTCAGTCTTAACGATGAGAAGATTTTGTTTAGCTAGATAATTAATATAATTCAACTTCAAACTAATTTGATGATTTATAGTAACATATTAAAAAAGTTTTAATTTTTAGTTTTGATTAAAATTTAAAGAGATTTGAAGATTTTTCCATGAGTTTAAATGGAAGAAGAGGAGAGGAAGAAGAAGATTGTAGCTTGATATTTTTTTATCGGAGAAATAAATAAATAATAGTAAAAACAAAGGCTAAAAGAGTAGTTGACCAATTTGAAAGAAAAGTTTTAGAAGCAGGGAAGAAAATTTTAATGTGTAACGTTAGATTTCTCTAAGTGCACTTGATCTTAATAATAATGAATTAAAAGTTTAGTGTTTGTGTTGTAATTTTTTAAAATTAAATAATTAAAATTTAAGCATCTAAAACATTCAGGGACCTTTGCATAGTTTACCGATTAATGCTTTTAGCTTATAAAAACAAAATCAAAGCTTCATATTCTACATAAAAACTTGGAAAGCACCCGCTGCCCCACTCTCACTACAATAACTGATCGTTTCTAATTTTCTTTTGTAGTCTCCCAAAAGCAGCCAAGATAGATTCGGATCGCAAGAGGAAGGAATCTCCGATCTCATCCGTAGATCGACCGGCGGCGAAGGAGGATAAACATAAAGATAAAGCTCCCAAGACCTCTACCCACCACCATCACCACCACCACAAGAAGAAGAGCAAGATGTCATCTTCATCGGCGGCCGATAAAGTGAGGGCATCGCACATACTGATCAAGCACACAGGCTCCCGCCGTAAGTTTTCTTGGAAGGATCCAGAAGGTCAAGTCATCTCCAAGGCCACCCGAGACGCCGCCGTCTCACAGCTCAAATCCCTCCGTGAAGACATAGTCTCCGGCAAGGCTAAGTTCGGCGAGGTGGCCAGTCGATACTCTGATTGCAGCTCCGCTAAACGCGGCGGGGATCTCGGTAGTTCTTTTCGCTTGATTGCAAAAGTTGAATACTTTAAATGATTTTGCTTATTTAGTTGTTATTTAATTAGAATTTATTTGCTGTTTTTTCTTAGAAAATTGGCAGAAGCTGAATTATGGGAGGAGGAAAAAGGAACTTTGAGTTAACAATTCAAAAGATTATCCTAACTGAGGCAAAAATTTATGGAAACTTTGGTCATAACTAGGGCTCGGAATACGTTAAAAACAGTTTTTTTAATTAAAGTCTCAAAGATGCTAATTTTGGGATTTTTTTTAACTGAAAAGATAATGGCAATTGAGGCATATATTTACGGATTTTTTTCAATGGGTCGCTTTGGTTATAACTAGGGTATGAAATACAATAAAAACAGTTTTGAACTGAAGGCTTAGATACTAGAATTTTGGGACTTTTTTAGCTGAAAATATAATCGCAGTTGGGGCCTTGGGGGGCATTTAGTTATCAAATTTTTTTTAATGGGTCACTTTGGTTATAACTAGGGTTTGGAGTTCTTTAGAGTTTTAACTGAAGTCAAAGATGCTTGAACTTTGGTATTCCCTGCAATCAGTTGGAGATGTAATAGTCAACTTGGTTTACTCAATTGGTTGTTGTTAAAGCATTCACATTCTCCAGCTTAAGAGTGATCCAATATATTAATAACTCTAGTTTTATTGATTATTTACTTGTGTGCAAGCGTATTCCTTTGAAGGCTTAAAGTTATATGTTTCAATGGTTGTGATTGCTTTGCAAGTCAATATTTTAACCTGGCAAACCGAATTACCTGATTTTGTTTTAGCATTTTGCAGAATTTCTCTGTTTTATATTAGAATATGACAGAAGCACTTTGCATTTGTTTTTTTAAGCTGTTATCTGCTTTCATACTCTTTATGTACTGATGATATTTCTGCAATTCTCTTACTAGGTTAAAGCCCTGTTGTGTTTTCCTGTACCTTATTTCTCTGAAAAAGAAACAAAGATTAATATTTATATTTATACATTTATAAATTATAAATGACTTTGAATTTTTTTCTATAACTCTTCTTGATTGTTATCCGTATGGAGTTTTGACTATAGGGGTTGATCCCAAGATTCCAAGTCAAACCAGCCCTTTTGCTTAGGAACCTAACCTATAGTTAAAATCTAGGACATTTTGCAATTTTGTTCATTTTATGTTTATGTCATTGTTCTTGTTTGATACATAAGATCAAGGGAAAAAATATCCACTAGCGTGTGCCTAGAGCAAGGACATCAAATTTTCATTATGCATATCCCATAGTTAGCATGCCCCAAGTCTATCAGTTTTCATCAACCATAATTGAATCAAACCTTATACAAACATTTCCTTTTGCAGGTTCTTTTGGTCGAGGGCAGATGCAAAAGCCATTTGAGGATGCAACATATAGCCTTAAGGTTGGTGAGATAAGTGACATCGTGGATACCGATAGCGGAGTTCACATCATCAAGAGAACAGGTTGATTATTGGTGACGCAACTAGTTCTATGTTGGGAAATTGTATCCGAGAATACTCTGAATTACTTTTGATTCTGCCTATGTCGTATTTGAGTGATATTTACCACTTGACAATGACCTTTTAGATGCTTGGGACTAGTTTGCTTGGGGGCGTTTAATTTCTGAACCATTTTGAGATTATTTGCTTGTTTATAATAAAAGGCTTTTGGTTATAATTTATCTCCCTCAGCCCCACACTGACCCCCTCCCTCGATTCTATGTTTCAATAATCAGCTTGCAACCTTTCTACTAACTATGAAAGCGTTTTGCAGTATTAGTTTATCATCATCTTTGTTGTGTATGGTTGAACGTGGATTCATATTACAACATGAACTTGTAAGGCATATATTAGGAAATTGACGGGGAATCGTAAAAAAAAAAAACACTAACATTTGTGTATGGTTGAACACTTGATCTAACACTATCCCCATATAATTACTTGAATTTGAACTCCCCAAATATTTTCTTCATAAAGGGGACCACAAATTCAATGGAGCTTGGTAACCTTACTGCCTCTCTCTTTTAGTTTTCAATGAAACGGCATTAAATGACTCATCATCCACCATGATCTAATGCCAGGTTGTATAGCTATGGCATTGGTACTCGATTGAGAATCCACTGACCGATGACTTCGAAACAATCTTTGAACCAAAAATGATCAATCCCAGCACCCCCTTCGGTTTATCCCTGCTTGAAGACATGGGAATGAAGTACGTGACGGCGGTGGTAGAAGATGAAGGGAGTAGTGTTAGATCAAGTGTTCTTCCATGATCCGGACGGATAGCTCTGCAGCTGTGAGAACATCCCAATCCTTCCACTCTCGTCTTGCTCATACTAGCCGAGTTGGCTCAGCAGTTTTAACAGGGCTGCACCAGCTATTGTGGAATGTGGATTCATGGAAAATGCCATGATGGAGAGCTTGAGCATGGAGATGTTGGATATTTCATTCTGACATGCAGCGGGGAAAAACACAAAAAAGAATGCGAACAACTTCATTTTCTTTTTTAGCGTTGTTTGCTGCAGACCATCCAATTCATTAATGATCCTGTGGCTTCTTTTTCAGCAATAGCTTTGATCCGGGGTATAGACAAACTTCGCAATGAAAGGTGAATGACGGAATTCAAATGGATTCTGCGAAAAAGTAACTAGCCCGTTGATAGGGACTTTTACCGTACCTCCTTAGTTCAGGCTAATGCTTGATAGGGACATTTCTGGTCCCATGTATTGCCAAATTACAACATCTTCTCTGTGTAAATAGTTTGATGTCTATTATGAAACTCAATTCAGGAGAGTCTAAGTCCGTAGCATAGTGGACCTGCCTTATTACAAGAATTTAAAAATCATTTGTTGAGAGTGGGATTTGAACCCACGCCCTTTCGGACCAGAAC